ATAGTGTCCATTTAGTCCTCTTGTTTTAAGTGTGATTAAGTTTTTTATTTCCGAGTTCAACAATGTGGGAAACATCGAACCTTTAGATTATATATATAATGTTTTAATCCATTAAACTATGTGCAACAAGTATTAAATATTCATATTAATATTCTCTTCCATTATTTATAAAGTCTCTCCCTCCCCATGCCCATGTTGCCTCCTTCCCTCTCCCCCTTCACGTCATTCTTTAATTATGTAAATATAGTTCTCTTTGCTACTGTGTCGATTTATTTATTTCCTTAAGTATTAAATACTTATTTAAATTGCCAGAGGAAAAATAATCCATCAAAATTGTTTGTTTATCAAGCAATTTTCCTAAACAGGTTTCATCATAAACATGTCTACAAAGGTCAAGCTAAGTCTTTCCTAATTGTGTTAGCCATGGTACAGAGCTGACCTAGAAAATAGTCATAGGCGAGGGGAACTCTTGTTCGCCAATGGAAAAACCTACAAAGACTACTTGTAACAAAACCACGATCGCCATCCTCAAACATAGCACAAAACTCAAAAGATTTTAAAAACAAAAACAAAAACCCCAATTGAGAAAAACCATTGCATGCAACAGAATCAAAATCCTGTTGATTTTGAGTATAAACAAGCTTATCACAGGAGAATGAAGAAGCAAAAATCCTCTTCGAAAAACCCCCTTCTACTGGAACTGAAGAAAATCCCCAAATTAAAGCTACTAACAGCATCTCGAAGGGCCATATTCAGGTTGCCACAAAACTCGTAAAAGAACAAAAAGTACAAAATCGAATCAAAATAGCTAGTAATCGAAAAACCCCCCACAGAAATTGCGGAAATCACACCCCAAAAATGTACATTTCTTATAAAAAAAAAAAAATCCAGTAAAACCTAACGAAATCGAGAGAGACAGAAAGAACACTAAAATGTGGAGGAAAAGGAAGCATACCTGGGTTAGGAGTAGTGGGGAAGAAATTGAGAAGAGAAATGAGTATTGTTGATGAGCGGAAGAGCAAGGTAAGGTAGGACGACAATGGTGATGAGAGAAATTGGGAGGGGAAGAGAGGAGTGAGATTGGGGTTGAAATTGGAAGTTTGGAATTTTTTAGGGTTAAAATATAGATTTTGTTGAAGGCGACATTCACTGCTTCTTCTCTTTCCTTTTCTGTCTTTAATCCCTTTGAAGTTTGTCTTTTTTTCTTTTTTTCTTTTTTTTTTTAAATAAATAAATAAATATTTAATTAATTAATCAATTGTTATTTATGAATCACCCACCCAACCACTCCAATAAATGTGATGCCAAAATTAAAAAGAAATATATATAAAATAAAGAGTTTTGAAAGGGTCAAAATCATCCACCATTTTTCTATTATGTAAATTCAAGACTTTAATTTTTACCATTCAAAATTGGTGGGTGTAATTCAAATCATTATTATTTTAAAATTTTAACCATTTTTATCATCCATCTTTTTCATCAAATTACACCTTAAAATTAGATAGATACGGTAAATGTTGCAAATTTAACCATAAACTTTTTTTTAAAAAATTATAATATTAACTCTGGAGTAAATCCTCCCTCTAAACATAGTTAAAATCAGTTCTCTCATATATATTTGATGGATTATATACACGTGTATATATATATATAGAATTGATAAACTTTTAAAGAAAACTAATTAACTGGTTTATAATAAGTTTTTACCCTCTTTTTAGGTTAAAAACTAAAGGGAATTATCGTAGTTGAAGTAAGGGTAAAAATTAAAATATTTATTGTAGATAGGTTTTTAGTCTGAAGAGGAAAAATCTGCCACGTACCTACTCTAGATTTTTGTTACCTAGAGTCGTTATCGTCATCTTAACCTTAGTTCGTATGTGGAATTTAACTCTTAAAATATTGTCTTTAAAGTCATATTTCAACATAAACATAACATCATCATTGAAAACTGTGTCATGATCTTACTGTTCAAAAACATGATTTAAAAACAAATTTTAAAGACGATAATAATAAATAATTCAAACATGAAATGTATAAGAATTTATTCTAACCTAAGTTTAGGAATTTAAATATGCTACTAACTTATGCATGTGTCATGGTCTCTGGTTGTGATGTCGTCGTTAGTCGTATAGGGGCGCCTTGCCTTTACCTGAAAAATGATGTGTAGCATACAACCTGAGTATTTCGAAGAATACTCAATGAGTGACCTCGCTATAAAGGTCGTGAAAATGCAAACACATTCAATGATGCCCTAGGAGGAACCTATCGTTAAGACATCCTAGGGGTGCCCTCTAAGTTCGAACTAAATTGGATGTGTAGTATTTCCTTACACACGATCCACACGTGCGAACGTGAATCCCCAGACGCTTCACACCCCCCTGGACCCATCATAGTCGAGCTAGCTGTCTGTAGTGACGTCCGGAGGTCAGCAAAACTCTGAGTGTGGCATGATCACCATCACCATCATAGCGTACGCGTCCATACTCATCATCGTAAAAGAGGAAGTATCCTGATGTATATGTATACATAGAAATGCATGAGGTCCCTATGGTTTCTCGTTTTTAAAACATGTTTATGGCACAACCCCTAATTTCATCCTTATATTACTATCGATAATATGCATGCATTAGTCTTCATTCTTTCATCTTCATTAGTCTTAACTAAGGTTGTGTCCTATGAAAATCGTCTTCATCATGTTGTATGACATTCATAAAATGTTTCTCATCTTAATATGGAAAATAACGTCATATTAAAGAAATAACATCATTTACGTCATCAGATTAGCATGCATCGTCATCATCATACAACGTCATGATAAACACATCATAATCATCATAAAACATCGTCAAATGTCATCATATAACTCATACATGTCATCATACATCATACGTCGTATGTCATACATCATAATTCATCATCAAGGCATCATAAGTATATAGCATAAATGACACATGCTAGTAGGCACGTGTCGTTATACATCAAACAATTGCCTAGTCTATCCTATAGTAATGTCACTTGTTTGGCCTTAGCTGTTGTTTCCCTAAATTCGCGTTTGCTAAGCTTTCGTTCCTTAAAGCTACTCCAAATGTCGTTGGATGTGAATGTTTGCTGAATCCACCACACCTAAATGGGAGTGAGAGTTCTCTTATTTATAATCATTTATAGAATACAGAAATATGGTAAATTACAAATAATATGGAAATAGCAATAAAAGGAAAGAATAATAAATGAATACAATATGTTTGCCTTTAATAAAAGGGCAAATATGGTAACCCGTAATGTAAGGCAAATATAGATATTTGCCTTATAATGAACGGTCAACTATCCTTAACACCCCCCGCAAGCTGAGCGTCAGATTTGAACGAACGTGAAGCTTGAATCTGAAAAATTCAAAGAGAGGTCGAGAAATACTCTTTGTGAAGATGTCAGCAACTTGGAGATGAGAGGGTACATATTGTGTGCGAAGTTTGCCAGCGATAACAAGTTCTCGAAGGAAATGATAATCTAGTTCAACATGTTTGGCCCGCTTGTGAGAAATGGGATTAGAGCTCAAAAAAATAGCACTTTTGTTGTCACATAAGAGTAAGGGCTGCTGTGAAATAGGGACCTTGAGGTCATGCAAAAGATGCATAACCCAAAGAAGTTCAGCAGCAGTCGTGGTAAGAGCACGATACTCAGATTCACAGCTAGAGCGTGAGACAGTAGGTTGCTTTTTGGCACTCCAAGAAACGAGATTGTTACCAAGATAAATAGAATAGCTTGATGTAAAACGACGAGTATTAGGACAACCAGCCCAGCCAGCATCCGAATAAACGACTAGCGTACTAGGAACAGTGGATGGACGAAAGGTAAGACCAAAGTGGAGTGTTCCTTTGACATAGCGAAGAATACGTTTGACAGCAAGAAAGTGATCTACAGTAAGGGCATGCAAGAATTGACTGACAGAATTGACAGCATAGGCAATATCTGGACGCGTAATAGTCAAGTACTAAAGGGCGCCAACAAGAGATCTGTAGAGAGTAGGATCAGAGAAAGGGGACCATCAGCAGTCAGGTGTTGAGAAACAACCATGGGAGTGTGAACTGGTTTGCTATCGAGCAACTGAGCACGAGTAAGAATATCTCGAGCATATTTTAACTGACTAATAAAGAGACCATCAAGAGTGGGTGAAGCTTCAAGACCAAGAAAGTAACTGAGAGAACCCAAATCTTTGGTAGCAAACTCAGAATGAAGCGAGTAAAGCTGTCAAAAAGAGATGAGTTGTTGCCGGTAACAATAATGTCATCAACATAAAGAAGCAAATAGATAAGGTTAGATTGCTGATGAAAGACAAAAAGGGACATGTCAGCGCGACTGCAAGAAAACCCAAGTGTGAGAAGAAATGAGCTAAAACGCTGAAACCAAGCACGAGGAGCTTGCTTTAAGCCATAGAGGGCTTTCTTTAATAGACAAACATGAGTGGAAAATCGAGGATCAATATACCGAGGAGGTTGTTCCATATGAACACGTTCAATGAGAGTCCCATTGAGAAAAGCATTCTTGACATCAAGTTGTCGAAGAGGCCATTTATTTGTAACTGCAATAGAAAGCACAACACGGACAGTGGTAGCTTTGACAACCGGACTGAAAGTGTCAATGTAGTCAAGACCAGGAACCTAAGTATAACCTTTGGCAACAAGACGAACCTTGAAACGCTAGACGGATCCATCAGGCAAATATTTAATACGAAACACCCATTTAGAGCCCACGATGTTGCTGTTGGCAGGGCGAGGAACCAAAGTCTAAGTATCATTTTGTTGTAACGCTTGAATTTCTTCATCCATGGCAGCCACCCAAGCAGGATTCTAAGCCGTAGATTTGAATCCTTTTGGCTCAGTGGATGCAAGATGAGCCCAAAATACCAAGATTTGCTGGATGACGAGTCTTGAATATACCAGCTTTGGCTCGTGTGATCATAGGATGAGTGCCCAAAGAAGAGAAATCAACAGGAGGTTCAATAGAGGTCGAATTAAAAGTCGAGGGTGGCAAAGTGGAACCTGCAAGAGAAGTATCAACTTGCACAGACTCATCTACAAGGTCAGAACAAATATCACACGGGGATGAACTGGATCGAGGAATGTGCAGTGATGAAGTGGTAGGGGGGGATGAATCAATATGATGAAGATGTGGTTCCAAGAAATTTGAAATAGGAATAGAGGAAAGAGGTTGGGCCTGGGAGCTAGGGATAGTAGGAAGAGTTTCATCAAATTGAGCATGGCAGGTGATATATAGCTTAATGGTGGTGGGATCAAGACAACGGAACCCTTTATGAGCAGGACTATAACCCAAAAAAATACAAGGAATGCTGCGGGGAGAAAGCTTGTTAGGCATATAATCACGCAAATAATGATAAACACGACAACCAAAGGGATGAAAATTATCATAATGTGGAGTGTAGTCATAAAGGAGTTCAAAGGGTGACTTACCTCCAAGAAGTGGAGTAGACAACCGGTTGATAATATAAGCTGCAGTGCTGAAGGCGTCAACCCAAAAACGAGGAGAAAGATTAGAGTGAAAGAGAAGGGCCAAGCCAGTCTCAGTCACATGACGATGTTTTCTCTCAGCACAACCATTTTGAGCAGGTGTATATGGACAAGAGAGTTGATGGTGGATGCCAGAATTACGTAAATGAGTTTTGACACAAGTACTAGTAAATTCGGTACCACCATCACTTTGAAATACCTTGATACGAGAAGAATATTGATTTTCCACAAATTTTTGAAATTGAAGAAAAATATAAAAAAAATCAGATTTAAATTTTAAAGGGTAAAACCAAGTGAATCGAGAATAATCATCAATAAAAATAACATAATAAAGAAAACCCGAATTTGATTTGACGGGAGAAGGACCCTAAAGATCACAATGAATAGGATCTAACACATGAGACGACCTACGTTCATTGCGGGAATAAGGCAATCAATGACTTTTTGTAAGCTGACAAGTATTACATAATGATGGAGAAGGCAATAAAGACGTAAGAGAAAGATGACATTTTTCTATTTAAAAAAGAAATAACAGAATGATTCACATGACCTAGACGAGCATGCCATAAATCATATGAAGCACGTAAAGATTTGTTTCTAAGGGCTGAAATAAAAGCAGAGTTGCCGTGCTCCAACACATGTAGCCCTCCATCTCTTTTACCGGTTGCAACCACCCTTCCTGTTTGACGATTCTGGATAGTAATAAGATTATTAGTAAATGTAACGGAGAGGAAAGTCGGACGTTAATTTACTTATGGAAAGAAGATTTTTAGTGAGGCGAGAGACAACCAAGACATCTAATAAGTGAATATTTGGAACAGGAGAAAGAGTACCGGTGTGGGTAATGGGTAGGGATGCACCGTTTCCTACGATCACAGAGTCCTTACCCGTGTAATTTTTAGACTGATCCAGAATAGATGGGTTGGCAGTCATATGGGCCGAAGCTCCAGTGTCCAGAAACCAATCAGCAGCATCGGGTCCAGCAATAGAACATGACATGTTAAAGGTTTCAGCAAGGTGAGCATGAGAAGAATCAGGTCGAACATACCGTTGGTTGCAGCGGTCAGCATAATGGCCCTCTTTGCGGCATATTTGGCAGTGAGGTGGTCGACAACCCTAACTTGAGTGGGTTCGTCCTCGACTAGAAGAGTTGTTTTTGTGAGAATAAGAACAACCTCGCTGGTTGGTAAAGAAAGCAGTGTGGCTTCCATGGGTGCGACCACGATTAGTGGCTGTGAATGCTGTAGGAGTGGAGTCAGAGGACTCAAGGGATCGCTGGAACAACTCATAACTTTCAGCTTTAGAGACTAAATCTGCGAAATAGGGGATAGAGGTGAGAGTCATCTGAGCAGTAGAAAAAGCTGAAAATTCGGTGCCGAGTCCAAGAAGGAACTAGTGCACTTTATCAATGTCCTCGACGGGTCTGCCAATGGCATGAAGTTGGTCACAATTTTTTTTGAAGGCACGGGCATACTCAGCAATAGGTTTGGTGCCACGTTTCATCAACTGCAAGTCATCCTTGAGTCTCAGTTCACGAGCTTTCGACTGATGGCTGAACGTAGTTTCCAACGCAAGCCAAACATCACGTGCAGTAGAGAGACCAACGACAACAGCCATGGCTTCCTCAGTGAGAGAGGAGAGCAGGAGACAGAGAAGTCGTTGATCGGCTGCTCTCCATGCCAAATATTTGGGGTTGAGTGTTGAGGAGGTTTCTGGTTCAAAGCGAGGTGGTGGAATCATAGTTCCATCGACATAGCCCAGCATATCTTGACTCTCAAGGAGAGGGAGAAGTTGGCTTTTTCAAAGAAGATAATTGGAGGAAGAAAGTTTGATGGTGATCATATGGATTAGAGTATTGAAAGGAAGAAGATGATAAGAAGATTCGGAAGCCATAGAGAAGAAAGGATCAGGGTTGTTAAACCAAAAGGGCTCTGATACCATGTGAATGTTTGCTGAATCCACCACACCTAAATGGGGGTGAGAGTTCTCTTATTTATAATCATTTATAGAATACAGAAATATGGTAAATTACAAATAATATGAAAATAGCAATAAAAGAAAAGAATAATAAATTAATACAATATATTTGCCTTTAATAAAAGGGCTAATATGGTAACCCGTAATGTAAGGCAAATATAGATATTTGCCTTATAATGAACGGTCAACTATCCTTAACACTGGAGATCGTTTCCTATTAGGTTGTTCATCACCCTTCGTTAGTATTTCACAATTCTAATATAAATTTAACTTAAATTTGTGAAATAAGGCCATATAATGAGCTCGATTATCTTATTTAGGTTCAAAATCAACTCTGGAAGGGTAAAAAATGTAGGGATCGGTGTAATATTGTACAACTCAAGCCAAATAATAGGTTTTTGAGCCGCCAAGCTGAAGCTGGAGCCTAGTCGATGGAGTCACGTGAGATGAAGGAGTCGGCGACTACAACACTGACACGTGTTGCTGGGAGAAGTGGACACGGGTGTAGGTCGCATTTGGGTTGAGACACGAACTTTGGGTCAGCTATACGGGTCGTGGGCTGCAAGTGTTTGGGTTACGGTCCGAGACTGATGCAGGTGAATTGGGCCAATGCGTACCAACGTCTAGGTTGTAGGTCTACATGGGTTGAGTTGATTCTATGACTGAAGCGAGTAGGCTGATAGATGATTGAGTTGGGTTGATGCAACCAGGTAGTCCAGATTTGGGTTCGACCTGAGGGATCTTGTTTTCTTCACCCGATTCAATTGAGAAATCCAGATCTCGCGCACGTGCGTGCGCACACACACACACGAGGTTTCTCTCTCTAAGTTATTTGCTCCAATCCTCAACTGGCATCTTGCCATTACCTGAAAGACATAAAAATTAGAGTGAGTATAAAACTTTAACCCATTTTAGAAAATATGTCATGACTTAAATATTCCTAGAATTCATTGAAAAACAAAGTAAATATCAATAGAAAAATGAAAATGAAGTAAGAATAAGTTTAAAGTAATGAAGATGCTCTGATCTAACCTAACGGCTAAAATTTAAACATAAATGCAACTATCTGTACAAGGGGTGTTTGACATTCACTTTCCCGTTCACTGTAGCGTTCTCACCGTATAGGAGTATTTGACCTTTACCTAAAAATAAGAGTAACACGTGGCTTGAATATTTTTAAAAAAAAAGTAAGTAACCAGACTATTGATGCTAAATACCACACTCTAAACCTAACTATTAGGCATAACATGAGTTCTATTCTAAGAACCTTGGTTTTGAGCTTATAAGTTATGGATTCCAAGTCCTTAAAGCTTGGTCAGTCTAATGCCTAGCCCTGACTTATGCATTTGTGTGAGCCTTTGTTCTTGAAAAAGTTTAAAGAGAGTATTCTGTTAGGCTATCACTTTCTCTCCACGTACAATGCATAATATTTTTCCTTGTCGTAAAACACTCTCCTAAAAACCAAATATATCACAAGTTAACTAGGAATAACATTCAAAATGTGGATTTAGTCCATGGTTGCCTCAATATTCCAATATTCCACTTCGTATATTGCAACATAGTTTGAGTTATGACCCCGACTTATACGCTATTTCACTAATGATCATTTAATTCCTGAAAAAGGCAGACTCACGGCTGTTGTGGCACATACCTTAAGAACCTGACCATGCACCGAAATAAGATGACCTAACAATAAGAGCAGGTCAGGCTTTTCCTTCGTTTCACTCTCCGAAGTGGCACAAAGATTCCCTTTTTATGTGGATTATGTGGAAAAGGCCCATATCAATAATTATGATTTTACGTCTGGCAATTCCTCAATATCTTGTTCAAACCTTTAGATATTTACCTAAACCAGTAGGTCTGATCTTGTAAATTAGAGCATGTTGCAAATAGTTTGGGTAAGATATTCTATTGAAGTGAGGAAAATATGAGATCATGATGTACCGTGAAATAGGAGGTCTAGGATGATGTAGAGCATAAGGCAAGTCTAGAAAGAGTGGTATCTAGTGGTTTGGCTTGGCTATTAACCCTAAAGCAACAATCCTAAGTTCTTAGGTTCATGGTTTTAGCTCGAACAGTTGGTTATAAAAGGGGTTGGCTTTTTGGCCCTTAATCTCATTTTAATTAATCTCAATTAATTGATTGATGTTTTGATGATAACAAACCTACTCTTAATTATTAACTATTTTCAGTATTTTGAACTGTCCACAGTATAACGTTGGAAATAACGATTTCAACAACTTTTCAATTACTCAAATTAGAGCTAAAACGAAGAAGTTACAGTCGAGACAACATACTTGATGTGATGATGTGACAGCAAAATCAAAATAATGGACAAATCAAAATATATTAAAGTATGACACTTACGATTTTGGAAGAGTAACAAATGGTAGAGTTTTTCTTCTTATTATATCTCTAAATAAAATAATTTTTACACTATATAAATTTGAATCTAACCGTTACTCACATCCATTTTTATTATTACTATATTATATTATTATATTTTAAAATTTTA